AAACAACCCACAAAAAGAACAAAAAGAAAAAAATTGATGCATCCAAATTGAACACAATAGGGAACAAACAGCTTCTGAAAAAGAATGACCCTGTATATGAACCTAAAGAGGAAGACCGATGGAAACATGTCATTTTTGGAAGAAAACAGCAACCAAGAGCAAAGCCTCTATTATCTACCAAAGCCCACTCTATTGAAGCCCCTCTGGAACTTAATAATCGCTTTCATAGCCTCCAGCAGGAAGAAAATATGCAGACACCTATAAAAGAGCAGTCACCAATAGTTTCTAAAAAGGAGACACAACCTAGCATTCCTGTGGCAGGAAGAATAGTATCCCAGAGTTCCCTAGGAAAAAAAAGACGAATATTGGTAATAGGGGATTAAATTCTTTGGGGAACATAAACTATAGTCTGCAGACCAAACAGTCCATTTAGGGAAGTATGTTGTCTCCCTGGACCAAAAATCAAAGATGTAACTGAGAACTTTACTAAAATAATCAACCCCAAGGATTACTATCCCTTTCTTCTCCTACATGTGGGGAGCAATGACACAACAATGAATCTAAAAACAACAACAAGAGTTTACAAACAGCTAGGGAGGAAAGTTAAGGAATTAGGAGCTCAAGTAGTGATTTCAGGTATACTTCCAACAAAAGGCCAACATTCAATGAGAGAGCAAGGGATTTTAGGAACGAACCATTGGTTTCAAAACTGGTGTCGACAAGAGAACTTCGGTTTCCTACACCATGGTTTGCATTACCTACATGAAGTGCTATTGGCAAGCAATGGAGTGAACCTCACAGGAACTAGAAAGAATATATTTGGAAAATGACTGGCTCGTCTTATCAGAAGGGCTTTAAACTAAAATTGAGGGGGAGGGGGGCAATCTTCAAGATCTTTAGAACCTAATTCCAAGCAAAAACCACTAGGTAACCAATCATATAAGGAGGTAGAGAGTAAAGAGAAAGAAGGAAAAGGAAAAGAAGAAATAAAGGAAAAACACAATGAAGTAGAGAGTGATGGAAAGCATGGAAAACCCAGATACAAGTAGGAGACATAAGAAACATACCCAAGACCCATAAAGGACTCACATGCCTATACACAAACACTCAAAGATTAGGGAACAAACGGGGCAAACTTGAAGTACTAGTACATGAAGGTAAATATGATATAGTTGCCATTACTGAAACGTGGGATGAAACTCATGGCTGGAATGTACTGATGGAAGGATACAAACTATTCAAAAGAAACAGACCTAACAAAAGAGGAGGTAGAGTTGCATTATATATAAAAGATCACTACAACTCTACAGAAATCCACAAAGCCAAGGATGAAAGCCTCCTAGAATCCTCTTCATGGGTCGATATAAAAGGAAAAAAAGAATGACATTGCTACTCAACCAAGCAGAAGAAATAGACCCAACCAAGCAGAAGAAATAGATGAACTTATCTGACAATTTGTCATCCTAAAGGTAGAGGAGGGAACTATAGGAAAAGCTATACTGGACCTAATTCTTACTAATAGAGAAGAAGTGATAGAGGGAGTTGAAGTTTCCAGAACGTTAGGCAAGAGTGACCACGTCATATTGTAATTCAATATAATGCAACACAAACAATGGAACATAATTCAGCCAGTGTCTTAAATTTCAAAAGACCTGATTTTAACAAATTCAAAGTCTAAGAAAAACTCCATGGATGAAAATACTAAAGGGGAAAACAATACAAAAAGTGTGAGAAACTCTGAAAAATATGATCATAAAAGCCCAGTCCAGCACATTACCACTGAAAAAGAAAAATAAATCCAAGAAGAAACCAGCATTGTTGCACAAAGATATCTCTGATAAACTGAAAGACAAAAAGGACAAGTACAAAAAAATGGAAAGGGGAACACATAACTAAGGCAGAGTATCAGCAGATAGCCTGAATCTGCAAAGATGATGTCAGGAAAGTAAAGGCTCAGAATGAACAAAGACTTGCAACAAAGGTTGAAGATAATAATAAAAAAGTTTCTTTCAACATATAAATAACAAGAGAAAAGTCAAGGAAACAGTAGGTCCACTTAAGAGACAAGATGGCAAGGACGTAATAGGCAGCAGAAAGAAAGCAAAACTGCTTTACATCAGTCTTCATGCAAAAAGAAACTATAGCCCAATCTACCAAAAACATAAATATAAAAGACAGACTAGAAATAAAAATTACAATAAGCAAGAAAATGGTTAGAGAACACCTATCTGATCTTGACAAATATAAATCACTGGGACTTGATGGATTACATCTCAGAGTTCTGAAGGGATTGACAAATGTTATCTCAGATCCATTGTACCATATCTTACAAAAATCCTGGAATACCGGGGAATTACCTGAGGATTGGAAAAGAGTTGATATGGTTTCTATCTTCAAAAAAGGGGAAAAAAACCAGACCCAGGAATCTTACAGACCCATCAGCCTTAATATCAATACCTGGGAAGTTACTGGAAAAGGTAATAAAAAAACAGATCTGCGAACACCTAGAAACAAATAAAGTTGTAACTAAAAGCCAGCATGGGTTTGTTAAAAACAGATCATGCTAAACCAATCTTATTTCATTCTTTAACAAAGTGACTAAATTACTGGGCCAGCGAAATGCTATGGGCGTGGTATACTTAGACTTCAGCAAAGCATTCAACAAAGAAGACTACAACCTACTTCTTGGTAAGCTAGAAAAATGTGGGATAGACAACATCACCACCAGATGGATTTGTAACAGGTGACACTAAGCTGGCAGGAATAGCTAACACCACAGAAGACAAGCTCAGGATCCAAAAAGATCTTGACAGACTTGAACAATGGGCCCTATCCACCAAAGTGACATTTAATGTGGAGAAATCAAGATTTTACACCCAGGCAGGAAAAACCAAATGTATGAGTATAGATTAGGTGAAACCTGGCTCAAAAACAGTATCTATGAGAGAGACCTTGGATTCTGAGTGGACGATCACTTAAACATGAGCCAGCAGTATGCGGCAGCAGCCAAAAAAGCTAATACAATCCTTGGTTGTATAAACAGAGACAAAGAATCAAAATCATGTGAAATATTAGTATCGCTTTATAAAGCCTTAGTAATGGGATCAACTTATTTTCCAAAGCAGGACAAGAAATAATGAATGGAAACTAATTAAGGAGAGATGCAACCTAGAATTAAGAAAAAATTCATAACAGTGAGAACAATTAATCACTGGAACAGCTTGCTGTCAAACGTTGTGGGTGCTTCATCACTGGAGGTTTTTAAGAAGAGACTGGACAGTTACTTGTCTAGTATAGGGTCTTGTCTAGTTGGAGCTTTTCAAACTCTGTTTTGTGGAATCCTAGGGACCTGTAAAAACCTAATGAAGTTCCCTGAAAAACGGGGGGTGGGGGTGGTGTTTACTCAAATTCAATCAGTGTTCTATCACTATATCTTTATGTCTTGATTAGGGGGTTCCAGGCTAAAACTCTGTGAGGGAAGCATAGAAGGAAACTGATACCAGGTGAACACGAGTATTGTGTTGTGTATATCTTTTGTAAATGTCTGCTGTAAATAACCCCACTATATACTGGTAATCCTTGTTTAGCTACCACAGTTGGGACTGGCAACTTGCTCATTAAGCAGTGGCATCACTAAGTGAGATATCGCCTGACTCCTAGCTGTGCTTATTATCTTTTTCATCTTTCCTCTGCTTTACAGACCTGTGAAGCTCATAAATGCAGGCATTGGTGGTGAAGTCTTTTTCATCACCATCATAACTATGAAGGGTCATTGTCTGAAACAGTTGTTAAGTGAGAACTCCTATATAGTGAAAAGCATAAAAGCCTCCATTGTCTTGTTTTTTTTTATGGGTCAGTTGTGCCCCTAAAAAACGTAAACTTTCAGTTCAAGAAAAGAACCCTGTGACACTGTAACAGGAGGATACAATAACTGTTCAGCTGAAGTCTTGTCTGAACGTATCCACGTTCCATCCTTTTATTTGCTGGCATTTTATTTTATTTAATAACATTTATGTGGCCACCCCCTAGAGATGGAGTTCTTGCCTCACAATCAGGAGGCTGTGAGTTCGATCCTAGGTAGCGGCAGATATTTCTCTCTTTGGGCGCAATGAGAATATATCTGCTGTGAGCTCCGTGTAGACACCAGGAAGGGCAGCCGGTCATTTAAACACTCAGTTCCATTCAGTCGCCCTGACTCTACCCTGATGCAAGGGATTTAGGGTCGTTAAAAGAAAAAAAAAATAGGGCCACTCAACTCACTCTTGGTAACTCCAGGCGGCTTACAAGGACAAAAACCCAATACAAAAAGCTACACACAGAGACCCAACAGATAGAAGTAATATCATATGGAATTTTCTGAATTGTCATTAGGTTCTATGCAATATTTTCTTCTTAAATCATCATGAATAGACAGAAGCTGGTCCCCTCTCCCACTTCCCTTGTCCATAAATATTTCATATCTTTCATCCATTATTATAGTTTATTTAAGGGTTCTACTTTTTTCATGGGATAGGTGGTATTATAGAAAAAGAGTCAGATGGTAAGAAAACTGTGGTAACATCAATTCTGTAAGTATTTGAGATGAATTTAAATTGTTGCAGTAAATTGGGCCTGAATCTATATATTGATCCAGAATTATGCACAGATTAACGTGGTGGTAGGTTTAGTTCAAGAAACTAGCTAAGTAAATTGAAAAAAAATGACTTTTTAAAAGGATTTATATGGAGATAGTTTCAATTAATGCAATAGTATCTCACAATCCTGAACTTCAAGAAATCATTTTCCTTTTTTAAAAAAATAGTAGATTTGAAGTCGGAGCAAGTTTGTCATGTTGCAGATTACACATTTATCTGAGCCTAAACTGGCCATGTTTTTCTAGCAACAAAGTATGGTGGGAAACTCAGTGGGCTAATGAATTGTACCTTGTGTTAACCATGGCATAATATATCCAAACATAGAAATTAGAGTTGTCCCTGTTTTGTTTTTTTTCCCCCTTACAGCCTGCCCATCAGAATGCGGTAAGAAGAATATCTGGAAAATGAAGCTGCATAAAAGGCTTGTTCACTCATTCTGACAGTTTGCCTGAATTAGTCCTCCCACTTCAGTCAGCCTGGCATCTGCATCAGCCTTTCTTCTTAAGAATTTCACAGCTGCTACTAAAAAAGAAATTAAGAATGGGATCATAATGTACTCAATATTGTCATAGCAGAATTGGGTGATCAACATATTACTTCTTTAATTCAAAAAGCATATTTGACCCAATCATAATTTGTGGTCTAAATAGCATACTACCACACTACTGTAATTAGGTCAAAATCAGCAATTGGGGAAATGCAGAAGCCCTACTTGGTTCCTGCAGGAAATGCCTGGTATCCCCTGATCCCTGTGCCAGCAGAGAATTGGTAAGGCTTACTTTGCTAGCACTTGGGTAGCACAGTAGATTTAGCTTGGGCACTGCTGTGTTCTGTGAAAGGACATAGCACTATGTTTGGAAAAGATGTCCAAAGTTTCTGTTCTTTTTTTCTTCCCTTCTTAAAATTGCAGAATGGAATGGAATGGAATTGGAATCTTTATTGATTAAGTCATTTGACCATATCAAATATATAAAACTAATATACAAATAGATAAAAAAATAGGACATGTTCAGAGTAAGTTTCACCTCTACAGTCTTTGAAATAAAGACTGCAGTCTTACTAGTGCTATGCAAGTTTACTCCCTGAAAAAAGTAATACTCTTTGGTACCCAATAATTTTTAGATTTTAAATAAGAATCTAAGAAGGCAGCCCTTTCTGCAGACCACAGTTTGCAGTCAAAAATAATGTTTCCAGTGTCTTCAATGGCTGGTGTTTTTACATTTACATCCTATTGTATTTATTGAAAGTGCTCTTTAGTGCCACGGCGAAAGACTACAGTTACAGTTTAAGGTCACAAGTGAAAAATTTCAAAGGTTCTGTGATGTAAAAGTTGCAATTGATAGAATATAGAATACTAATTCTCAGAAGAAAAGTCTGCAACTGCGCAGGAAGGTGAAGGAAATAAAAATGTTCAGGAACGTTGGGGACAGATTTCCCAGAAACTTCAGGATGATAGTGCTAGGATGATAATTTGAAATACAACTGAAAGACTGAGTTTTGAACTAAAGCCAATAGAAATGACAACTTGGGTTATTTCCTTAAGATTTGCTTTTGTCTGCAATAGATTGCATGGTAGGACAAAGGTCCACTTTGCTTTGTGTACTGCTCATCTTTGTTTTGTTGTGACCTATTTTGCTGCCAGTCCTTCAGTATTGCTTCAGTTTTTAGTAACTGCTCTTACTTGCGTTATGCTAAAAATCAGTAAAAATTGTACCTGAACATAATAAACACAAGTTTCTTAGATTAAGTGTGTTTATTAGATTATGTGCCGTGGATGGGCAGATACCAGTAGAGGAGTGGCACATCTCAAGATGGATGATCTGAAGAAACCTTTGCCCCCCTGAATATAAGGCATTTTTAGTTAGATGGAGAGTCTGCTAACAGAAGTTATTGAAAATATGAAGAAACATGCGATCCTGCTATGCTTTTAAATATGGAAACCTAGAACAATTTGTATTGTAAATAATTTGACTTTCTCTGCTGAAATGTCCAAAAGGTCAGCACAGAAATATGTGAAATATATTATAAATGTGTACTCATTTCTGAAGTTGTACTGTATTTGTTTTGTTTATAGTACCTTGGTTTCAGCCTGTGGAGCGGTTCTCTGTCATTTCCATCATAATATTGATTGTTATTTTATACTGGTGCCAGTTCATTACTGTAGGTAAGTACTAAATTCCTTTATTAATAGTGCTATATGTCTGTGTGGCTGTGTGGAATAATGCAAAAGAAGTTTCTGCTTTACATGATTAAAAATTGTGTAAACTTCATTTTGAACAGTTTATGTAACTGCTTCCTAATGTTTTCCTGATTGCCGAAATAACAGAATAAAAGGTGACACTGTAATTAATTAAAATCTGATACCCTTACATTTGTGACATCTATGAATATTTATTAATAACTTCTATAATAGTCTGCACTGAAAAAAAAGTTTATGCTTGCCTGTGGGTGTTCAGCATTTGGCCATAGAATGACACAAATTGAATACAGACAACTATCATTCTGTAAAAAAATGTCCTTCCTTTTAATGTCATTATTCCTGTAATTAAGTTTTATATTAAAACTATAAAAGCAATATGTTTGTGAACATTGATAGATATGGTACAATGAGCAGGAACCAGTATGTGTCTGCTGCAAACAAATCATGCCAGGGCAAATCCATTTTCTTTATAGAATTACTAGCTTAGAAGATTAGGGTAATGCCGTAGAGAGTACTTGGACCTTGGCAAAGTCTTCAACAAAGCCTTGAATGAAATTTTCCTTAATGAAATGGTAAAATATGGACAAGATGGTCCTATTGCTAAAAGACTTACAATTGGTTGAATGTTCATGCCTAAGTAATGCTAATCAATGGTTCTATTTCTATTTGAAGAACTGAAAAGTTGTCATACTGAAAAAAGAGTAGACATTTTCTGTACAAGGCAGAACCAGAACCAATGAAAAGAGCTTCAGGCTAGGTCAGTAGGAACTGCCTAACTGTATGAGCAGTGGTGGGATTCAAATATGTGAACAGCCGGTTCTCTATGTGGATGCTGCTTCCAGAAGTCCATTCTGGGCCTGGGCAACAAAAAATTAGCTACCGGTTCTGCTGAAGTGGTGCGAACTGGCTGAATCCCACCACTGTGTATGAGTTATGTGAACAGTCTGCCACCTGAAGTTAAGAACTTAGTAGACTTCTTTAAAGATCTTCTTTAAAGATCATTTGTCACACAGTCTGGTGCACTCTAGGAATCTTGTTAGTTTCTTAATATAATTTTCTTTTCTATGCCCCTTGTCTGAAATAACTGGGGATTCACCTCAGGTACTGTAGGTCTCCTATTGTTTCTTCCTGCCTCATATGCTTGCCCCTACTGCCCCTTCTCTCCAGGTCCCTTCTATTAAATGTTGCCATCTTGTGGGACCCAGGAAACATGGTGGTTTTTCTGTCACAGCCTCCACCTTCCGGAATAGATATCACCTCTAGAGATATGGATGGCATCCATTTTCCTGAGGTTCTATAATCCCCATCAAACATGGAATATTTTGGAATATAATTCAAAATAGGCTTTGTATTTTTAATATGACAATATTTACCCATACGTCTGGGCAAATGTTATATTTTGTAATTATTTATTTTTATATTCATGCAATATTTTATACAATATTATTCCAAGTTTGCAATCCATCCTTTTTGATGCATCTATTGTTGTACAATTCTGAATTTTCTGGCTTCTAATAACATACAAAAGGGTGTGATTAAGAAGACATAATAAGTAGCTAATGTTTCTCTGAAAACAGCGGTGCTATTACCTGGTGCAAATATAGCTTGCTTAGATGCTAAAAATGATATACATTTCCAAGCATTCATGGATGAAACTAAGCTGTATGCTAGGACTTTGGTCAGGTACTACTTCAATAGGCAGGCAGGTAGGTAAGCAAGAAGAAAGGACCACCTATAATTCCCTTGCTTTGGCTTTATATCTTAGTGGCTTTGATGATATGACTTGTTTCTTTAGATTGGGAACTGGAGAAATTGTTTCATATTGATTCCTTTCCTATATGGTAGCTTCCAAAACATAGTGTGAGGAGACTATTGTTAGTTTGTTTTTTAAAACAATTCTGATATTGGATAAAATCTATTCCACAAGGTTTTTAACTATGCCATTTAGTTTATATTTTCATGATATGCTTATAAAATGATATCATTCAAATATGGATTTAGCTTTATTTACTATATATTTTGCTCTGGTTTAAGTAGAGTAATTACTATATTAATATCTGTCTGTGGGAAAGAAATAGAGTTTAGCCAGTCAATAATGGCCATAAAGCCATCATAGTTATTTTGAATTGGTAGGGGTTTTGCCTGAAGGAGAGCTGTTCATTTAGAGTTAAATGGTCTGAGGATTTTCCTGAGGATTTTCATTGGGAGTTCAGATTTTGTTTGGTGAATATAAGATCAGATTAATGTGTTTCAGTATTTTTGTATCATAAGATATATATTTGATGGTGAAAACAAGCTAATGGTTGATTATTTATTTATTAAGCTGTCTGTCTTAATACAAGCTAATTCTAGGTGCTTCATAAGAAAACCCATTAAAACAGAATAAATATAACCAATATCACATCATATAATCCCATCATCACATCATATCAGGGAGGGATCTCTCAGTCATTGATGAAATACTTTCTTTAAGAGAATTGGTAGCATATATGAGAAACAATAAGTTTTTATTTTACTTATTAAGTAATATTCTTCTCCAATTTATGTAGAAATATTTGTAAACTTTGTGGTGAGATGGGCAGCACAAAAATTAAATAATAAATAAGTTTTCCTATGCTATTTTACTTATTTTATTTGTACTACATTAGATATACTGTACTGTACTAGGAATACAAAGTGGTATAATTTAGTATGTTAAGAATATTATAAAACATAAAACCAAAAGGCAGAAAATAAGTTACTCTTTGCTTTTGGTTCATAAATGGACCTCTTAAAGAAGCTATCGATTTATAATACCTTTATCATTTAAAATATCTTAATACACTAATACAATCAAATAGTATTTGTAGACATTAAAGAAATTTAAAATATGAGTCACAGATCTTCATATCCAAGGCAGTAGCAAATTATTTTGCTTTAATATTTATTGTTACATTTATTAATTAAGATGTTAACTATATAATATCTTAATTGCTTTATATTTGACTTACATTTGTGTGGTATAATCTTTCTTGAACATGCTAACTCAATACCTACTGACCTTACTTCATGGCACACTAATTATGTAAACAGAATCAAAACAAAATTGAACATTTTCAAATATTTCTTTCAATAAAAGCCAGTCCCAGTGATTAAGACGCCAGGTTAGAAACCAAGAGGCAGTGAGTTCCAATTTGCCATAGACATAAAACATGACTTTGAGTCAGTCACTCTCTCTCAGTTCAACTCACCTGAGCTGTTGTGGGGAAAATAGGAAAAGGAAAGAGTATGTTTGCCACCTTGAGTTATTTATAAGAATGTATAAAGGCAAGAAAAACATCTAAAGAATAGGTTGTAGAAAGAAATTATTAGTAGCTTTTCATTTGTTAAAAGTTGTTCTTTAGAACTGATTGTTTTCTATATATCAAAAGCCATGCTGTTTTTTTTATGTCTTGTGCAACAGCTACAACGATAATATTGATTTATAAGGTGTATTTTCTCCTGCATATCAAAAATCATGCTGAGTCTCTTGGTTCATACAATATCTAAGACTATAGTGTCTAGAATAGAAATGTATCTGCCAGTTTATTAAAAGAGCCTCTGGCAAAAGTCAGAATGGTTGGTAATAGTGTTCAGTAATTCCAAATGCCTCTTTTTAGAAAGCTACATGACCTTACCAACCACTAGTTGGAATAGTCCATTCAAAAAGCCTAGCTTTTGCTGGTAAAAGGCAGAGTTGCATGTCCGTTGGCAAAATCTCTAGTTAGCTATAATTTGGAGTATAAAATATAGGAAAAAACATGTTTAATCATTTGAAGTACATTGCAAAAAAAACCATTAATGTCATATAGTGGCATATTGATCTGCCTATGTCTTTCAAATTAAAATCTTTGTTTAAATCAGTGGTACAAATCTTGTATTTTACAAAGTAAATATTTTAAATTAACCTGTGCTATGTATGCCTTATGCAACGTTTCATTCAAACCAGTGTAACTTACAGGTGAAACTCGAAAAATTAGAATATCGTGCAAAAGTTCATTTATTTCAGTAATGCAACTTAAAAGGTGAACCTAATATATGAGATAGACTCATTACATGCAAAGCAAGATAGTTCAAGCCGTGATGTGTCATAACTGTGATGATTATGGCTTACAGCTCATGAAAACCCCAAATCCACAATCTCAGAAAATT